AGTACTGAACTACTCAAACAATCTCATACATTGCATACCAACCAAATGTAGATGAATTTGCAGTAAGTTAGACATAAAGCAAAAAAAAAAAACTGGCAGCACGCATGTGCATAAAAGAAAGAGAACTTCCACTGAGTAGTCCCAAGCACACCACAATCCAAGCCTAGTAGTAAATGTAGGTGCTAGAGAAAAGAATCGCAAGTTGGAGAAAACAGCCTTAGTTACCCTCATTTTGCAGGCCAACCAAGAGCTCAGTTTCTTCACCCGCTGGTACAACTGCAACCAAATAAAAAGATGGACATATTATTGATTACTGAACTCAAGAAAGATGGGAACAAACTTTCAACATAAATGGTTGCTCTAGAAGTAATTCATATTTTAGTATGCAAATAGTAAATACATACAAAACTCTACATAATTCATGGAATCTTTTCATCAGCTCAATAAAAGTAACAAGTTTATAATCTTCTGAAAGTACAATGAGTGGCAAACATACATGGTCATATCATATTGAATATCAAGGTACATAATTCCAGTTGCTTAGAGATGGTTATATACAATTCTCATGACTGGTCATGGAAGAAGAGACTCAACAAAATTGCATACTATTAACTTACTTTTCCCAGCATTTTTGGGGAAGACACAAACAGTCTCCACACCAGGAGCACGGCTTAAAGGCTCTTCACTGGAAACCGGAGTATCGTCACCCACATATCCTAGATCAGCCCCATCAACAACTTCTTGCATAGCAGCATCTTCCTCAGACTGAGCTCTAGCAACTGTAGGAAGAGAAGAAACATTTCAATCAGTCTTAGATGACACATGGAAGGAAAATGACTTGAAGCATCAATTGGGAGTCTTGATTGCTAAAAACAGAACACCACACGAGAGCACTCGTGCTACTAAGTTTGATCTCCTATTCATCAAAAAGAGTAAAGTAAATTGCAAATTTCAAACTGCTTGTTGGGACCAATTAATTTGCCTAGTTACAGCATTTAACTGTCGTATATAAAAATTAGAACCGAGTAACCACTACACCAATCTACCCCTGAATTGCTAACCCATAAAGTATAGAGAGCTCGGAACATTTCAGAAGCTGCTAAATTCCCACGAAGATTCACTGCCGCAACATGCAAGCACGGCTAGAACATGCACGCGCTCAAAATAGCGTCCTCGTTTAAATTTCGCCCCCAAACCCCCCACCAACAAACCGGGTCTCTAGCCTCAGCCGGCCGCATCCAAGACCGCGCTCCGACGCACCGCACCTACGCCGCGCGCTATATCCAGGCGAGCGGAGCGATCTAACTAACCCGCCTAAAACCGGACCGCTTCAAATTCCAGCCCGACCAGCACCACACCCTACAGGGCCCGATCGGCTCCAGCGCTCGTTCCAAATCGGCGCGCAGCCGGGGAATCTAGCGCCGCCCCGACGCGGAATTCCCGAGAGTACCAGACAGAGGAGCGGATCTGGGCGGCGGAGACCGAGAGGGACGCGTGGTTACCTTGGGCGAAGGGGGAGGCGGCGAGGAGGAAGGCGAGGAGGAAGGCGGAGAGCCAAACCCTAACCGCCATGGCCGGCTCAGTCAGATCGGATCAGGATGGAGGGAGAGGGAGGAGGTGGTGGTGCTGCTGGTCTTGGGCGCGTGGGTTTTTCCGGGGGGTGGACGTGGTGTGGCTACTAGTAGGAGGAGCAGAGGGAGTTGGCTGAGAGTTGCTGCCCATGCCACGAGGTCCACGGCCTCTAGTGACATGGAGGCCGGCGTCGTCATACCTTGCCGTGCTGGATTTCCCATTTCTTTTTTCCTCGGGTTTGTTGCTTTGGTTTTGGCACATTCAATTCGGTGTCCGGGGAGCGTGATCCGCGCTGTAGACCCTCTGACAGGTGGGGCCCGCTAGGTCTAGGTCTATCGTGCACATTTTTCTCTATCCAAAACTGGAAGACTTGTAGTACTCCATTCCTTTTTATTGCTCTGTATATGAACCTTTTTTTAAAACTATATTAACTTTGTTCTAAGCCAAGTGCTATATAGTTCGACTAAATTTATGAAAAACACTATAAATTTCCAATCATATTAATAATTGTATATGATGTGAAAATATATTTAATTACGAATCTAATGGCACTGATTTGGTAACATAAATGTTAATAAATAGATGAAACAGATGAGTACAAAAACATTCGTTACTGTTAATGATGTATAGCAAACAATTTCTACATTATCCTTGCAAAAAAAACAATTTCTACATCATCAACATTGAACTAAAGTTTGCAACAGAAAGTGCGAAAACAGCTCAGCAAATATTTTGTCATATATGGATGTCATCTGTGTATCACACCTCAAGGGCCACACCAATCTTAAAGCACAAAGGAATGCTTGATTCAACCTGCTTAACTCCAACCAAAAGTGGTGAAACATTGCGTAGAGGCACAGCTACGGAAAGACGAGCTCAAGAGAGTGGAAGCGAGTATATGCAAAACGTTTCGATTATTTTAACAGCGCCAACAGTAAAACAGCAGCTGAATTATATCGTTCAGGCCGGAAGGACGAACGCAGCTACGACTATACTCCCTCCATCCCATAATAGCTTGCAAAAACGTCTTATATTATACTTCCTCCGTCCTAAAATTTTTGTCTTAGATTTTTTTAAATATGGAATACATCCGCATCTAGACAAATCTAAGACAAGAATTTTGGGACGAAGGGAGTACATTTCTACGGGTTCCACTGCCAGATAACGGAACAGCAAAGTTCAAACAAAGCATCCCCAAAGTGCTGTGCCGTCTCTATGGACTTGTGAAACCAACCGGACAAATGCGCCCAGCCTTTACACACTCGAGATACAACAAATGTATGTGAGGGTTGCTATTGTGACACACCGCATCTAAGATAACAACAGTTCACGATTTGGTTTCGCGCCACGAATCACAGGCCCAGGAACATTGTATCACCATCGGTTATTTGGGACATCCAGGGATATAATGTATTTTCCGCTGCAGCGGCAATGTAACTGTAAGTGACATCAGTTGGACAAGTGCAGGTTTCTTATCTGGTGTGCCTGTCTTCCACCAGTTTGGATGGTTCAAATCCATGAACTTGCACTGCTCGCTCATTGCCTGGAGCTGGACATCCTTCTTGTCGACCATGGCATGTAGCCTAACATTTTCCTCAATCGCCTTCTGGACCTCGGCTTCTTTCTGTGCTTTCTCAGTCTCGAGCTGGCTAGTCCTTCTGGACCTCGGCTTCTTTCTGTGCAAAGGCAGAACCAGCAGAAAGTCAGACTTCTAGACTTGCCCAAGTCTATCTGCATCTTATTGACCACTATAAATATCAAAAAACAGTTGGGACACAATCGAAGCATAAAACTGCTGCGTTTAGGAGATCAGTGCATTGAATTTGAATCTACTTAAAACATTTTATGTGGCAACAGCCTCCATCAGATATCAAGTGATAGAGGAGTATTAACTGTTTTAACCGATGGTTGCAATATATATAGCCAACGTAACTTTAAAAAGGCATATACAAACCTCTACCCAGATCTCTCACAGACAATGAAGTGGGTGAAGAAACTGATAACAAATGTGATACAGAGAGAAATCTAGTCATGCCATTTAAGTGCTAATCATAATATACTAGTATATGGTTGTGTGCCCTAAAGTCCATAGAAAAGATAGGGCTCATTTAGTAAAAAATAAACTGGAATTGCCAGCAGAAAATCACATATATAGTACTAACACAGCATTAGCATCATATATACTACAACAACAACAAAGCCTTTAGTCCCAAACAAATTGGGGATAGGCTAGAGATGAAACCCACAAGTTCTCGAAACCAACTCATGGTAACTCCGCCTATGTTGTCTCAACATAGCCGGTCCCAAGCCTGGGTAAAGGAGGAGGGTCGTGATAGTCTTGGCGAGCCAACATCAAAACTCAGCCACTCTTATGGAGATGAAACCCAGAAGAACATTAGCATCATGACTATTTTTGTTTTGCATCTCAAAGATACTAATGCTGACCGTATTACATAGTTCGATGCATAGCTGATTGAATATATTGTTAAGATGATAATCATGGTAATTACCAGTCTACCAAACTGATGCGTCAAAGTATCATGTGACAATAGAAGCACATCATAACATGCATGCCAGAATTTATGGAATGAATGGTTACTGCTGCTGCTTTGTTCAAAATTGGGAGGTTAAAATGAACTATTTCTACTCTTCTTTCATCTGTCATTTTCTTATAAGAGTTTGGCAAGGAAAATGAACCCATCACAATACATTCAGACAGGATGTAATTACTAGAAACAACATGAGACTTGTGAAAGTACCTGTCAAAAATCTTCTCCATTGTCTCAAATTGCTTCTTCGACGGAAAAAGATTTTCTCTAACATTAACAAGTGTGCTGACATAAGTTCTGAGCGAGTCAAAGTCATTCTTCACATGATTAAGCTCCTGCTCATTTTCAGCAGTGCGCTGCCTCTGTCGTGTGGTCTCCAGCCCCACATCTTCAACCCTATAAGATTTCATTCAGCATACCATTTTTACCCACTGCAAATTTCTACATCTCCTCGACTGTCACCGACATGGACTCAACCTGTGTGGTCTTCCTCCTGATCTCTTTCAACCTAATCCTCAGTCCTTTCTCATTAGCAGTTTCAGACTCGGCCACAAACACTCGCTTCACAAGAGACTCTATGACGTCAGTCACCACACAGATGGACTTGAGAATGCCTTCATCCAGAGAATTGCAGTTTCCATGCGGCAGTTGTCCACACTTAGCATGGAGCCATCAGCCATGGGCATGCCCAGACCCTTAACTTCAATCGTCAATCTCATTAATATTTCTGATCCCCTTCTTTTATATCTTGAAGCAAATATGTGTCACCTCCAATAATCAATTACATTACCACAACAAAGTTAGACCAGGAAGTCCACAACAAAGTCATCATCACCTTGTGAGCTTACCAGGTCACACGAGGTGAACTATCTTAACATCTCATTTGTTGACTAACTGAGAAGTAAGATCATTGCTTCCAGTTTCTCTATAGGAAACCAGTGCTTTATGTAAAGACTTACTAAACTCACTGTTTCTGTATGCAAGAAGACCACTTATCCTTCTCATGCCTTCTGACATTCCAGATATCCCATAACAAGTTGACAAATCAATGCAAGTAACAGTGTCCGGTTTTAGCCCTAAAGCATGCATCCGCATGAACAAACTGAAAGCTTTATCCACCTCCCCACAGGAAGCATACACCTTGAAGGCAACATTGTATGCACATGGATCAATTGTCAACTCAGGCTTTGGAAGTTGCTCACAGACATTTAATGCAGCAGCATGCATGCCGGCCATGGAAAACAAGAATGCAAGTATAGCATGCTTGGCAGAACTCCTGCCATCACTGTATGCTGATTCTAACTGCAAAACTTCCTCTGATGAAATATTAATTTTATTCACTGAAGAAAATATCATCTGAAAGGTTGACGCATCTGGAAAGATGTTATCTTCCACCATTTTTTGCACCAGGTCTGCACAATCTCTCAAGTTGCCCTTGGCCACATAACATGCCATAACAGCATTGTATGCAGCACAGTCAGATAGTAAGCCTGAATTATCTAATTCATGAGCAATCTTAATGGACTCATTAAGCAAGCCCATGTTCTTGTAGAGAAACATCATGATAATGTATGAAACATCATCTTCCTGATTATTTCTCCTCAAATTGTCAAAGATTGCCTTAGCCTCAATGACCATCCCAAGTTTTGCATACAGGTTTAGCATGGTATTCGAGGCAATGATATCAGGGCCACCATCCATGTTCCTCATCCTTGTATACAAACCATGTGCTTCCTTCCAGCAATTGATCTTGCTGTAGGCCTTGATAACCGAAGTTAAGACAATATGGTTTGGAGTGATTCCAGATTCTTCCATCAAGTTGCCATAGTGCAGTGCCTTCTCCACTTGTCCTGTCTCCGCAAACATATTAATCAGCAAACCATAAACAACCACATTTGGTTCAACACCTGAGGCCTTCATTTCACTGTACAGATCTATAGCTTCAGATGCCAAGGAATTGCGAGAATAAGCTCTCATAACAGCAGAGTATGTGTCACACACCGGTTTAAATCCTGTGTCCTTCATTGTATGCAAGAGCTTCTTAGCTCTGTGTGGAAATCCACCGGCAGAAAACATCTGAATTAAGGAATTGTAAGTGCACTCATCTGGTGATATGCCACAGCCCTTCATGTTCTCAAGTAGAGAAATGACTCTATCATACTTTCTTGCTAAACCATAAGCCTTGACCATCACATTATATTCCACTATCTCCCTCTTGCCCCCAATCCCTCTATCACAGTGGAAAATATGCTCGGCTTCTTCCCAAAGACACCTATCTGCAAACGCATCCATGATGGCAGCAAAATTCTTGGATGAGACCTCCTCGCCTCTGCAATGCCTTTCAAAGAATGCATTTGCCTTATCAAGCAATCCCTGATCAATATACATCTTCATGACAACTGGCATGGACTGTTCATGAATGCTAGTGCCAGACTTGATAATTCCTTCTATCACATCTTCTGCTTCACGCACCAACTTCCTCTCACATAGCACCTGTAGCACAATCCTATAGCTCACAGCATCAGCACATAACCCGATCCTCCCAATTTGATGGTAGTATTTCAAAACTCCCTCCGCATCCCCCATTGACGCAAACAGCGTCATCATCACATTATATGTCCTAATATCTGGAGTGACCCCCCTGACGACCATGTTAGCTAGCAGCACCTCTGCCTCCTTGACGCTGCCACATGACCCAAATCCATAAATCATTTATTGAACGTACATATGTCTGGCATAACCTGATAAGCCAGCATGTTCACAAACATGTCCATTGCATCCTTGTGCCTCCCGGCCTTTCCATAAAGATCGATCATCGTGTTATAAGTTTCCACAAGCTTTGGCTTCCTAGGAACTTCCTGAATGACCAGTGCACCAGCAAAATCAAGTTTATCATGAAACACGTCGTCTATCAAGAATTTCATTGGTCCGTGTAAATCAACCGCTCTATATTCAAGATCAAGAAACTCAACATCGAACCTGCCAATGCACCAGTTATTGAAAAGGACGAGCGCGTCCATGTAGCGGCCACTGTTCTTGAGGATACGGACGAAGGTGTTCATGGATATCTCGTCGGGGGCAACACCCAGTGCGCGCATGTGCAGCAGAAGCAGGAGGGATTCCCGTGCCGAACCGGCCTTGGCGAGGGCATCGGCGAGCGCGGCGTAGGCTGGATTGGAGGGCGGGATGGCGTCTTCCCGGGACATCATGAGCCAGACGCGGCGGAGCTCGGGATACCGGCGCGCGCGGGCAAGGTGGCGGAGGAGCACGCTGTAGTGGACAGGGTTGGGCGCGTAGCCTGGGAGCGCGCGCACGCGGTCGAACAGGTCGTGGGCGCGTCGCCAGTGGCGCTGCCGCGAGAGAAGGGCGGTCTGCTCGCGCGGAGACATGGCGGCGAGGGAGTCATCGGACGGGTGGAGGGTGGCGGTGATGGGGTTCCTG